GGGATGAAGGTTCAGTATCCTGACATGTGTTTTTTAAGCAGTACTTCAAACTCCAATGGAGCTCTGCCACAGCTAAAGCCATTGTCCTCAAGGCATCAAAATGGTTTCAAATGATCAACTCATGTTGATCCTGTCCCATACATGCAGCCTTCAGGGGTTCAGGCCCTAAGGGGGGGGCACTGTCATAACCATGTGTTCACTCTAGGTCCTTACTCACTCCACACCCTCTTCTGCTGGTCATTCACTCACTCTGCACCAAGTCTGCCCAACTTCTGTTGGTTACAAGCCATCTCCACTCCAACTGCTGTCAGACTTGTACTGCTCTCCTACTGGACCAAACAGACCATTCTCTGAGGGGTCATGTGACTACCTTTGGACTCCTCCCTGACAGCTCACAGTCAGGTACTCTGCAGTGCATGCACCACATGGTCCAGCACCTGGACTGTTTCCTTTTCTGGATGTTCTATGTTACCTGTTCATATGTCCTCCATCTACCCTTCATTCATTGTCTAGGAAGTTTTACTTGAAATTTTACGAGTCTCCATATGTCAGTGCTGATTCTGATTACTGTACCTCCATAGTAGTATAAAAGCATGTACCATACTCCCCTGTTCTTTGTATGAATATTGACTTAGTTCCTACTCCCTCTGTCTCCATCTTCTGCCTGTCAGAGTTACCTCCAACTGTCTGTCTGTACTCCCCCTCTGAAATATGAGGGCTGAGATCATGCAAGGGGGTAGCACACAATCCAAACCCAACACCCTCACTTCACTCTGCCCTTACCTCAGTGGATTTTGTTCCTGCCAACACTCTGCCAGTCAGAGTTCTGCTTTTTCCATCAGACTTGCTTCTGAACCTCTCCCTGGACCTCATCCAGTGTCAGAGTTGGTCGGAGTAGGCCTGGACTTGACACACGCCCACTTTGGTAGATGATTGTACCCTTGTTGGGAGCAAGGATAATGACTTGTATGACAACAATTTTGATTTTGATGACTCTGCCATCAGTAACATGACTGGAGAACCTTATGGAGAGTAGTTGAAGTCAGGGACTTCAACTCTTAAAGAAGGGGTAATGTTATGTTTCACCCCTATTGCTTCTTTTACTGTGCATTTACCTCATGTTCATTCTGTTGGACCTCTTTTCCTTTCTGAGCCATCTTCTCTCTGAACCAACAGCTCACTATTTCCACCACTAGTGTTTTCCTCTCTCTACATGCTTTAGACATGTGTCACTGTTGTTCAACCAATAGTATAGTAGCCTCATTACATATGGACACCTCATGGTCTGTTTTCCTGTAGTACTTAGACTGCTGGCTCAAGTCCTGGAAACCCAGACTTGAGCTGCTCAATTATACACAGCATTCTCAGAACTTCACTCTCAGTGTCCCTTACCAGGACCACTCTTACCAGCATTGCCCCAAAATCCTCTGTCATTTACAGAGGTTACTGCAGCTGTTGCTCAGTAGAAACCTTTAGCCTGTGACTGAGCGCACCCTACATCTTGACTTCAGTCAAGTATAACAGATACTGTTCTTCAGGTCTCAAGTAGGGTAGCAGATCTTGCTCTGAAAAGGAAAGCACCAGGTGCAGATTAGATGCAGATGTGTCTGTGGTGCAGACATGTGAATCCCTGGCATTATGGTGGTTGTGAAGTTTGTGGAGTAAACACTTGCATTGTTGCTGTTTAGTGATACCATGAATGAACTTGATCTTGTTTGTCCATGTGTAAAATCATTTGGTGTGCCAATGTTCTAGCTCACCCTGAGTCACACAAATAGTGATTTGTTACTGCAATTTCAGCACCAGTAAAGTGACTTACCACTTGAGTAGAGTAGTTGTCTGTAGTCCCAAAGAGCCAAATTGACACTACATAGTCTCCCAAGGCATGCAGTTTGTATGTTGAGAGATTGAAGGTTTGCTGTCATGGGCCAGTCTGTGCTGTAGCAGGCCTTGAATTTCCATCTCCCTGAGCTCTTGCAGCCGATGCAGTCATATGTCAACTGTGTGCAGACTCCTCATACAGCAGTTTTGAAGCAATGGAAGAGGCATCCAAGCCTTGTCATTGAGCTATTGAGGAAGTGAAGACTTGTTTCAGTATGGAGCCATAACTTGGTGAGTGCATGCTATGTCACCAGCTCAAAAAGAAAATCCATTATTGTGTCATTGTATGGAGGGGGAAGTAGACCCTCGAAGACAGGGATTGAGCACTGCAAGGATCATAGCATGTCAGTCTCCATTCAAAGCAACTGCAAAAACACACATACCTGCAGAAGGTCTTCAAAATCACACACAGTGAGTTTTTTCATTGCTAATGCATTATTGCTGAACTTGCAGATGGTATCTCAACTGAATGTGGGGACCTGTTGATATCTGTGCATGCTATTCAGATGGACATGAATATAAGCACAAAACCTGTTATTACCATTTATTCAACTCCTGTATTCTATCACCTCCAAGTGTGTACAGTATCCATATTAAATGTGTGAATGTGGCCTTCCAGACACTGAGTTAGAACTCATGAAGAAGGTCAGGAACAAGAAGGGAATAGATGTTGAGGCCAAACTGAGCTAGCCACTCCAAAAATGCACTCTGAACCATGGATTAGATGACAATAGAAATGGAGAAAGATGGATGATACTCACATGCAGAGGCACTAAACCATGAATACCCAGAAGGGCATCAACAACCTGACTAACAAGGCTGTGACCTTTCTCAAAGATCCATCTTCTAACAGTGTTGATCTTCTGCTAGATACTTGGGTCATTGGAGCATGTGTAGTGCTCACAGCACATTCAATCATTCTTGGAGCTGAGCATTAAAATTTGATCCTTCTTGATGAGGCAGCAGGGACAAGGGCATTTCCCCAGATACTGGATGCAAGCAATGAGGACTCTGAACAAACTTACAGTGAGTGATACCATGTGTGAGATATGAGGAACAATCACTTACTTTTCTGGAAAGTCAGTTGCATAAGTAAAAAATCATGGGAAAACTTTGTGGAGGATGCCATCCAGAAAGTGAATGTTGAAGCCATGTTCATAGGCATGTATGAAGTCCACATCCAAAATGTGATTTCATATAGAAGGGAAGAGCTTGCATCTGCAGTGGGTAAGAGTCACAGAACTTGCACTCTTTCCAAATAAATATCAATAGACCTCTTGAATCTGATCTGGAAGCTGTGAAAATAGAGTTAGCAATTCAGTAAAAAATGGAGTATCTGAAGCAATATTACCTTAGGGATATAGGCAAGGTGATGTGCAGAAAAGGACATTGGTTTGCAGCAGATATATTTTGATTGATTTCCAATGAATATGTAGATTGGCCAGAGTGCTGCATTTCTGAAATTTGTGAGGTGAATCTGACCACACCATGACAGCAGCAATAACATTCTCTAGAGTACTGGTGGTAGGTTTTTGGTGTTGTATGGACTTGTGCTCTGCTAGCATCGCATCACCAGTATATAGACTGCCATAGATTTGCTCTGGTTGTGCACTAGGACTTTGTTTCCAAAAGAGCTTGAATGGGCTTGATGTGAAACATTTGAGCAGAAACCTTGTTGAAAGCAGATCTCAATAACTCCAGCAGCTTGTGATAGAATAAGTCTGGAACCTCAAACTCAGGGGCATCAAGTTCAGAAGCAAACTGAACTTTTTTGGTGGGAAGCTTGACTTTCACAGATGTCTTGTTCCAGTTGTTGGCAGAAAGTATGGAAGGTGTATTGGCACTGTTGGGATACTCATCCATGCACTGGGCCTTGCAAGTGGCATGGAAACTACACAGATCTTCACAATTGAAATCTTCAGCTAGGATTACTTTGTTCACCAAGTGATTAACATCAGCAAGTGACTTTGTATTAGAAGAATTGTAGAACCATTGCATGAGATGGAACATAGTGGGATTTAAGAAAGGTGTGAAAAATGACCAAGTGGTGTCCTGCAGCAATTCTAGGCATGATCCAAGCCCCAAGCCTGACCACCAAGAGTTATTTGGAGGTAGTCCACAACTTGGCTCAAATGTTTCATCAAGAGACTGTAGGTTCTTGGGATCATAGGTAGGGAAGTTATGAAAATACAAGCAGAAGATGCCATAACTGTCAGGTTCAGTATTGACATATGATGACTCGAAATCTTCAAGATCTATCAGCAGAGGTGAATCAGGATGGGATGGTAAGTCAGGGAATGGAACTGCATCAGTGCCATCATTGAGGTGGGTAATGTGAGGTACAGGATTGTGAAGTGAAAGAAGTTCATCACAGTATCACCTAGGAAGACAGCACACATGATTGGGAAGACCAGAAGGTCTATAATCAGGTTCGGGTTCTGCAAAAGAGATCTGGTGAAGGGATTAGCTGGAGGTCTTGATGGTCACTTTTGCATAACATGGATAGACACTTACCTTGCCTTGCACATCATCATGCCATGCAAAGTCATTGTCTCCTCTCTGTAGGCTCTCCAATCCAAGACCTACATTCTCCTTAGCAAGGCACCAGACTTTTTCTGCCTCAATTTGGAGATCCTCATCCCATTGGCATTGTTTTTGATGCATAAAAGTTGTGGATGGGAGGAAATTTGTGCATTTAGACCAATGCACAGAAAATGCCCTTTGACTAGTGAAATCGGTTCTGTGACAACCTACACAAAGAAGTTTCATCAGTAATGTTAGTAGTAGCAGCCTTTGAAGGCCTGCAAGCTGCTACTAATCACAATAAGCTATTGGAAGGGTCTGTAAGGCAGAACAACTTGAATGACACAGTCACATGACAATGGTGCATAGACACTTATACCTACATGAGTCACATCCTTAGGGGCTCGCATTTTCTCCCCCCTTAGTTCTTCTCTCCCATGGATGACACACTGCCAAACCCAAATTCTTCCAAGTCCCTTGTTGTCAAAGGCTGTCGAAGCAAGAAAAGAAAGTAAGTACTAGTACATGCTACTCATATAATAGTACCATGAGACTCTGGAAGAATTGAAGATGACCCAATGGTCATTTACCATACCATGGGACACCACCTCACTTATACTGTAGACATGTTTGCAAATGTCTCCATCACATTTGGAGTTGGTATAGCTTGCAATAAGGGTGGAACTCCTGGATTCCCATTGTAAGTTCATTGCATGGTCAATGATGCCCCAGCACTCACCATATTGATGTTTCAAGGCCTGAATACAGCAAAGAATGCTTGCTCCAAACATATCAAGCTGTCCTTGAAGCAGTCCCTGATTTGTCCAAGTGATCAACAGTGCAAATGGGCAAAAGCTTGAGGAAGCCCTCAAAATGGTAAGTCATTCCATTCTTCATTCATCTAACCACATATATGCGCATTGTTTTAGGTCCAGGAAGGTGTTACCTGCTGCCACACTGATGACTGTGGCTCCCTCAAATGGCCTGGCCTTAACTATGTTCTGCTCAACACATCTGCCCTCATGCCTTTCATTCTCCCAACTGACACTTCCAAGTCATTGCATGGTTTCCACCATCCTCAACTGGCACATCTCTTGTGTCTGCACAAGTACATTTCTGAATTTGACCAGAATTCAAACCAGTAAGTCACTCTGAGTTGCTATCTTACAGCATACATGCTGACTATGTTGCTTACTGACTCAGATACATAGACCATGTCTTGAATGGGGACCTCATTTTCAAAGTCTGGCCACTACTGTCATTCCTATATGACCAAACAAAGCCTTATAATCCAGACAACATCCAAGATGGTCTCTTCCATGGCCATGTGTTAGTATGTGTAAGCCGAGTTCATCCATGTTGCATTGATTGATCATTAACATCCTATTGGTGGCAGTTTTATAAACACATCTTCTGTGGTCACTCGACTGCTGTGGGCACCTCCATGATCACAACAAAACCATCCAAGAACAAGATCCACAGTATCAAAGAAGTTTCAGAATTCACAATTGCTTATGCAGTGGTAATGGCATACTTTACTTTATCATCAGAGGATATGTTCAGGAAGGCAGTGGGAGGACTCATTTACAGAGATTTTATTGTAAAATCATCTTGCTTTTCAAGGAGGAGACCAATCCATGGGTGAAGGAATCTTTGGCCTGGTGGAACTAGTGAGTACTCCAATTCACCAATTGTTTCACCTCCAACCTTACTATCATCTTACAGGCAGATTTATGGCAATAATTCTTCCAAAGACTTGAATGGTAATTTGGATTCTGAGGAGGAATGGCAAGCCATCATTGCACAGTGCACTGCTCATCACTGGCTCAACCAAGTCAACTCTGCATCCATTGATCCTGTGTTGAGAAGTAAGCCCATCAGTCTTCCCACACAACCAATCTCAACTGAAACCATCACCACAGGGGCTTCAGCCACCACAAGCACCTCCTCTGTGCATAACAGAATTTGGGCCATGACCACTGTCTCCTCTGGCATTGCCCTCTCCTCTGTGCATAACAGAACACAGACTGCGACCACCATCAACACCAACAGCACCTTCTCCTCAGCACATAACAGAATGCAGACCATGACCACCATCAACACCAACAGTGCCTTCTCCTCTGTGCACAACAAAACACACCTTGCCCCATTGCCCCTCTCCAGTCCTGAGCCCAAGGCTTGTCCTCCTGCCCACACCACCACTTCTCATGGGGGACCAAAATGAAGAGGAAGAGGCTGTGGAAGGGGTGCTTGCCAGGGGGCTTGAATGGGTATCTTTCTGATCCCTTTTTGTTCCCTACCTCACTGACCATTGCTTCTCAAGCAGATGCTGCAATCTTCCACATCTGTGACATTACCTGCTTGAGTGTCACCTTTGCTCTGCCACCTTTTTCTCTTGCTCATACAAGTGCTCTCATTCATTTCTGCTGTCCTGTTGCCTGCTTCATCCTGTACTGTCCACTTTCACTGTTCATGGACCAACATTATCACTGGATTTGCACATAATGTATTACTAATACAATGATTGTGGTGCTTTATAGTGTGCTTGTAAGCATTGTAAGTGGTGTAAGGTGCAAGGTGCAAAGCTGCAAAAGAAGTGTGGTAGTAAACTTGTAATCACATTGTAAGTTGAATATAATGCCTTACAAGGCCTTGTAAAGCTTGCAAGACATTGTCAGAGATGGCAACCTTATAAGCCTCACAATGGGTTTATAAACTCATGAAAGGCTTATGATGGTCATGCAGGGGTACATACATAAGTCTTATGGGCTCCTGCCCAAAAGGGAGGTTAGTTATAAGGTGCTTACAGGCCTTAGTACCCTTATCAGGCAATTACAAGGTTTCTGACATTTTGCTGATGACAGTTTTTTGAGCCACTGTATCAGGGATGGTGGTCTCATACTCCTCACTATTAGGATCACCAGGCACAGTAGCCAGATCCGATGCCTCCAGTAAAATAGGGTCACAAGGAATAGGCAATGGGATGTAAGCCCTCACAATGACATAGGCCACCAAGTCATCTGTGAGCAGCATACCATTGAAGGGACTGTAAACACAGAGTTGTGCAGGAAAGACCACACCAGACATACACTGCACAGTGGTGTTGTAGAAACAATGATATGCCTTCACCCCATTGCCACCCCTCATTGACTGCACACAATGGTCCCCTGAGAGCACAAAGAAACCTACAACAGTGGTCATCAACATATACATGAGCACAATGAGGGACAAAGAGAACAAAGCAAGCACCACACCTTATACAGTGGCTCACAAAATTGTCCCAATGTTTGCATGTTTCTCATTAATCATGATGTAGCAAGTGAACTATCATCATTGAGTCCAAGGTGTTGGTGGAAGGATCAAAGCAGCTGGTCATGGCTCTCTGATGAGCCATATTACATAATATTTGGATAGAAACTGATGACAGAATACCCAAATGAAAATGAGAGCTCATTGGGACAATTTTGTAACTTTGTCATATATATGGGATGGAGTCCTCAGGAACACATATAAAACATGGTGAGATGCTCACTAATGCTTACATAATGTATCACATGGTCTACTGAATGATTCATCAAACAAACAAACAATGCCAAACAGTGATTTTGCACCACTAAGCCTCCTTGCTGTAACACAAGTCAAGAAATCACCATTCTGGCTCATCTATCAGCACCATTGATCTCTTCAGAAACCTGCTGGCAGTCATCTCCTGTGCTGTTTCCCACCAATGCCCCATGCAGTCCTGGAACTAATCAGTACTGTGAGAGCTGAGAATGATGTGGAGGTCCAATCTTGCATTCATCCTATCATAAACAAACCAATCACCCACTAACTACTACATCACTGCTGAAGAAAAGCCTGCCTGAAGGCTCAGGTGAAGCACAACCCTGCTGGGCACTCCCAGTATCATGGGAGGGTTGGCCAGACTGTACTCTGAGCTGAACTGGGGATCACTGGGAAGGAGTAATTTGATCATATAAGACTAAAGGAAATATCCAGTGCCAGATAGAAGGCCAGGAAAGTGCAACCTGGTAGCTCAGTAGCATATCCCTCCCATGGTACCTGGAGTGAGGGAGGGTTTAGCTTCACCCTGACCTCCATACCAGTTTCCCCTTCACAGAAATGCACTAGTTAATGGACAATTGGTTTGTTTATGATAGGATGAATGCAAGATTGGACCTCCACATCATTCTCAGCTCTCACAGTACTGATTAGTTCCAGGACTGCATGGGGCATTGGTGGGAAACAGCACAGGAGATGACTGCCAGCAGGTTTCTGAAGAGATCAATGGTGCTGATAGCATATTCTATTTATTATACTATAGTGTACAGCAGCATTTGCTGAGGTTGCCCTGAGAGAATGTCCCTGATGAGCCAGAATGGTGATTTCTTGACTTGTGTTACAGCAAGGAGGCTTAGTGGTGCAAAATCACTGTTTGGCATTGTTTGTTTGTTTGATGAATCATTCAGTAGACCATGTGATACATTATGTAAGCATTAGTGAGCATCTCACCATGTTTTATATGTGTTCCTGAGGACTCCATCCCATATATATGACAAAGTTACAAAATTGTCCCAATGAGCTCTCATTTTCATTTGGGTATTCTGTCATCAGTTTCTATCCAAATATTATGTAATATGGCTCATCAGAGAGCCATGACCAGCTGCTTTGATCCTTCCACCAACACCTTGGACTCAATGATGATAGTTCACTTGCTACATCATGATTAATGAGAAAAATGCAAACATTGGGACAATTTTGTGAGCCACTGCATGCCACCACCAGGACCATGGATGGCAACCAACAATGCACACATACCCACCATCCACACTGGATAACATGCTGCACCCAGAAAACAACAGAACATCCATGCATGCAGAAAACATTCCCAGCAGGACACAGCATGAAGAATTTACCTGCAGGGCAGTGGAAACAATCAAGTCTAAACATCTGCATGGCAGCACCAAGGAACCACACATAATGTACCTACTTTGTACCATATCATATGACCAAACAAGGTTGACAATTGGCTGTGTTGCACAGACTGGCTAAAGTCAAGCCCACCTCTGAGTTGTCATTGTGTCACACAGCATAGCCATGATCATTGGATGTCACCATACTGCACAGTGTGGCTGAGGGGTTACTACTATATACATCTTGCCTGGATAATCCTGGCATGGATTCTGGCAAGTTGGGAAAGGTCTGGTACTAACCTGGTATGGGCTCACTGGCATGAGCCCAGCATGTGTCAGCAATTGCCAGTGGGTCAGAAGGCATTCCACTGTAATTCTATTGAGTTGGTATGAATGCCAGGCTAATTCCAGTAAGCTGGGACAAATGCTGGGATAATGCCAATAAGCCAGCAAACATACTGGTCTTATGCTAGTGGGCTGGCACAGATGCTAAGGTGGTGATGGTCAGTTGGCATGGATGCTGAGCTAATTCCAGTTGGCTGGTATGGATGACAGCCATGGACAGCCATACAAAATATGGGAGAGACTGCCCTGCTGGCACACATCATGGAGTTGAATGTGCTGCAGGTCAAAAGAGGAGAGGTGAGATGTATGATCCACACCAGTCCTATGCCACATACCTGGTGGACAAGGGACCCTACCCATCTGGATGGGTATGATTGTTGGTCATTGGAGGAAGTTTTGCAGGAGGCCAAGGAATTCTTTGTTGGGGTTGAGGTGTGTGGTGGTCATTTTTCAATCATTCCATTGAATCCATCTGTGCCATAGGAAGGAAAAGACAGTCTCCAACTGCTGTGTGACATGGACCAGATGCCATCAGACAGCATCAGCTGGTTGATTGAAAGCTGTGATGAGATGATCCATCAGGAGGAGATTCACCAGCTCCATGGTGTGATGGAATTTTTCAGTGGATGGCTCACCCTTTTTGACAGGCTTGGACAAGTACAGGACCAGCTTGAGGACTTCCAAGTCAATTGAGTTACCTGGCCAGGAGCCACCAATAAGTAGGGTGCTGTCCTCATTACACATCTCATTAGAATCTTGATATGTAATTTCCCCAGTTTCATACTATCTAGAGATATATGCACATTACTCTTCCAATTCATATCTTGAAGTACATCCTAGTGTTCTGGCTAAATCCTGATACATCTGGGACTGCCTAGCCATATAACATGTGAAGCCAGTATTGCCCACTGCCAATGCCTCCATATGCTGGCCACTCCAGAATTTCTCCTTGTGTAAGGAGAATTTCTGTGTCCACCCAGTCTCCAGTGTGAGTAACTCTAGCTCTTCTTCCCAGCAATCCTGTAGCACTTTTGTATGCAGCCAGTTGACTCAATAAACTGTGATAATTCAGTCAGTATTTCACACAAGCCCAATTGATCTGCCTACATTCCAACATCCTGTCATTCATGGCAGAATCCCAGGGAAGGTCCATGGTCCAAAACCAGGCCAGAGTGTTGTTGTGATGACCTCTTGCATTTGGGTCTGCAATTGTGGCACTCACAGTCAGGTCTGCCCTATTCAATTCTTGGTATTTGCCAAGAATGTCCTCCCCAGCCCCCAGTGCAATGAGTTGCTTTCGGCACTGGCAATAGATGGCAGCATGCCACTGAACCATTGCCTCTGCATTGGATATCTGCCCCCATGCCCAGGTTGTCATTTTGTAGTTCCCTCCTTTCCAGACATCTGTACGAAATATCACAGCCTTGTCCACAAGGGCCATATGCAATTCATGCAATGCATCATTTGCCTGGCCCTGTCTCAGATGTATTTCCTGTTCCACAAGACTGCTGAGGCCAATGTCATGGAAATACTGTACTTCAATATATGATGGCAGTAGAACATCACTGACCTCCTGGTGACCAGGACAATCAGGGAGGAACAGATCATCAGTTTTGTCCTTACTGTCCCCATTGAATGGGGCCATACTTCTGGGCCTTTGCCTGGGGTTAACTTGCCAGTCATTTCTGATGAACTGGGCTGCTCCATGTACTAGTGCATCAATCTGTGATTGCAACCAGTCTTGCCAGCACAAAATCAACAACTGGTCTGCCTCTGTTGCCCTGGTGTCCATCTGTCAAGCACTATTTGAGCCTGCTCAACCTTTAATGCCTGTGCAATCCAAGTAGCTGAACCACATGAGCTGCTGAATGAATGGTTGTTATGGATTAGGTCAATCTCAATGGCTTTCATGGTGGGTGCTACCATGATGTATGTAAGTTATGGGACAGATGATACAGTTGGCCCCCTTACCCTTCTCCAGCTGGACTTCATATATGTCCATGGCCTGCAGAGTATTCCAGTGGCATGACTGCACCACAAGTTCTTGTTCCACCCATAACTGATGCAAGCCATCTGGTACCTTGCTATCCAACTCATTGAATTTATCTTGGATTGTTGCTAATGACTGCTTGGCAACCTTGAACTTCTGTTTCAATGCTGATGCTATGTGCAAGTAATCAAGCAATGGTCAACCAGGTACTGTGATGACATATGCATCCATATCATTTTGAGGAAGTTACTGTCATTCATTTGGAAGTCCAGCAACTCCTGACAGTGTGCTGTTGCCATTCCCCAGGCTGATGGTGAGATTATGTTGAGAGAAGACCAGAGGGTCTCCATGATTTCACCATCCACCTGGCTGGCACCCAGAATAAAGTTTGGAGCATACCTGGTGAAGCACTCTGTCTGATGGCCATGGACATGCCATAGTCCAATGCTGGGCTGAATCTGTAATCTGGAAGGCAGAGAGAGATATCTATTTTCCTCAAGCTGGTAGGCCAAGTTCTTGCTATACTGACAATTGATGTCATAAAAGGTTATGACCAGTTGCTGGGGGTCCAATCCATGGTGCACAGCATGGACCAGAGCATAATCCATATTGACCTGCCTGCTATATTGTTAGTCATGACCAGGGGCTATGAATTGGTGCATACTGCTCTCCCTTCTGAAAGTTGACCATTGCATGAGGTACAAAACAGCTGTGCCTCACACAGGCACATCCACCAATCCCAGGTGATTCCAACTTATTCCTTTGTGCATTTGCTTGATTAACAGCCCAGTGGTTATTGCAGTTGGATTTCTGCATGATGCAATCAGTCTGGTGCCTTTGGAGAGATCATGATGCACCAACTTCTATTCAATTTATGGTCCCGGTCAAATATTCCTTGTATGGAGCTGATGTGACCATGAAGCCATTTCCATCCATGAGCCAGACCTCTTTGGCAGCATCCTTGGGCAGCATATGCTCAGCCTTGAAGTTGCTGTCCATCACAAAGGTCCTAGCAAACTGCCAGCTACACAAGTCAGGCTAACAATGCCTTTGCAATAATGAATAGAATACGGACTCAGAGAGATTGATATCCTGATCCAGTACATTGATCCCTGGCTGGGGACAGGCAGGGCTGATGGAATCCCTGCCATTTCAACAGCTTTAGGAGCCTCCACATTCTCAACACCCTGAGCAATTCCCTATACCTATTCTTCGACCAGCATGAGCAATGTGGCATATGGTGGGCCAGGGGTGATCACACTCACTGGCACTAGGTGAGGAAACATGCTTGAGGTGACTCTCTGAAGTTTGTTATAATAGTTCATGGCAGAGGTTCCACATTCAACATTGTCCCTGATGAAGTCATCCAGCACCTGGAAAGTGAAAGCTGTCCTTGGTGCCTTAGTCATAGCTGGGAATAGGCCAGCCATGGTAAGCTGAAGATGTGAATCCTCAGACCCAGGGCAGTTGCAATACTGCACATTGCAAAAGTGCATGCTGCCAGTGTCCACAACTGTCAGATAGTTTCTATCATCCAGTGGGTTGAGATGTGCCAGTTGTTGACTCTCCTTGATGTCCTCCCACTCTTCATCTACATGGCTGGCAGCATCCTCCCAAGAACCTTCTCCTGCCAGGCATGGTGCTCCAGCATGACCCAAGTGTAGCACCAAACCAACCTACAATATCAGTCATCACAGATGATGGGTTGAAACTGGAACTCACCAGCTGTAGAGTGAAGTCTTCAAAGAATCTTCCATTCCATTTTTGTACTGGATGGAATTGTCTGAGTTTGTGTTGCTTGATGCAACATGTTTTACAAGACAATGGGCAATGAGCACAGTCTATGCATCTATATGGTGCCCCTTCTGCTTTACACACAAAACAAGCCATGACATCGGATGGGGCCTCCATGTCCAGGAGCACAGACAGGTATCTACTCTAATAGGGCAGCCACTCTTCCAGATAACTGTTCTGTAATACTGTAAGGCACACATTGCCAACACTGGGATGTTTGATAATGCACACCTGGCTTTTTGGAATTCTTGATGTCCTTGGTGGTGATACATCATCCATGTAGCAATATAGGTCAGCATCATTACCCTGGACTAAATTGGGTTCCTGGATGCTCGAAGATCCTGCCCTAGTAGGTGATTCATTGCTTTGGCTGGTTGCATATCTTGCCTTCTTTCTCAGAGTAAACTTGACCATCTTTTCTTTGGATCCCCTGGTTGTTTTCACCTTTTTCCAAGTGACATGGGTTACCAGGGTGGCCACTGCAGCTCAGGCAATTTGTGACTTGCCCATGTCTAGTATCAAGTCCCTGCAGGATGTCTGCAGGCCTCAGCCATACATGCCTCATTGTGATGCCTGGCATGACTATGATTTGAGTTGGATCTCAGAATCAATGTCAGAAGATCCAATCAGGATCAAACTATACTTTATCTATATATAGTAGCAGACTGGATGATAGACAAATCAGCTTACCATGTTTGGCCATGGTACTGATTGACTGGAACAAGACCATACTAACAATGGGTATGTATCATGACTGGAACATTACTCAGCCCCTGGAACTTTATTCAAGAATGGGTGACAGTAACTATGAGGAATGGACTCCAAATTTTCTTTCAACAGAGGGTAACATTACCTGCAACTAACCAACCCCAACACCTTCTCCAACATTCAGAATGGCCAGCAGTGATCACAGTACTAATTGTGTTAATACCTCAGATGAGGAGGACTTTTCCTCCAATGAGGAATCTAGCTCAGATAGCATGGAGACAATGAAATCTGTGCCAGGAAAGCTGAGACCAGATGAACTTCAAATCCTCCAAGATGGTCTAAATGGTTGGAAGGAAGCTGACACAAACAAAAGGGCCTCACTGATGGAGGGCATGTGGAACAAAATCAAATGGCTGGATGCCAACAAGAGCCTCAAACAAAATGAATGGAATTGAAAATGGACAGTAAGCTTGATGGTTTTGATGTGCTTGTAGTCATGTTAAGTATATTTTACAGGCCATCAAGAATTGGATGTATGACAACAGTCGGTCCTGGGCACAGAAGGCCCTGGTCAAGTATGGCTCCAAATGGATGGCCCTAAAGGTGATCAAGCTGCAGCATAAGAAGGATATCCAGCAAGTACTTGTGAAGGCCAGAATACATCCTGGGATGTCAGTTATGATCAAACACTATCAGCCAGCCATTCAGAAGGTAGTCCAGTCATTGGCCAAGGCTGAATTGGACCAGGCAGCCCATTTGGCAAAAGAGTGGAATGAGGGAAAGCTGCCACCTGAAGCCCAGGCAGAGTAAGCATCCAAGTTCTCCCATGGGCAATACTAGCTTAAATGCAGGGCAGCAACAAGTAAGGGCCGGAAGTATGCAAAACAGTTTGCATATGACATGTGGAAGCAGTGTGGGATGAGAGTGGTGATCATGTCAGCATGGAAGGATAAGGAAGGCAAAGTGATGGTTGGAGTGTGAGTGCTTTCCTGACAGGCTTCACCATATCTGACTGGTGTAGGTATGACTTCAATGATGAGCTGGGCAATGGAGAGCTCTATTCAGATTGGGAAGACCTTCATGGAAAGTGGTCAGCCTATGCAAAGAAGGCCTTTGGGGCCAATGGTATGGAGGATGGCAGTGGAGAGGATGAGGCCAGTCAAACCACAGTAAAAGCATGGAAAGGAAAAAAGCAGTCTCAATTCTCCCTGTCCACCAATGATGATGGCATGCCCATTCTTCCAAATCTCTTGGACTTACAGACACCAGAATTAAAGGACATCATGAAGGTGTTCATAACCAGCCATTATTGTACATGCCAATTTCCATGGTTGATGAGTTACTAACATCTAAACACAGGCTTGGCTTGTGGGAAGACAAATGCCAGTGTACCTTGGGCTGCAATGGCTGACAACTGGGCATCCTATGTGTCTTCCAAGTATCTTCCTCCCAATATCCCATTCAAGGAGCCCACCAGGCTGACACATCATGAACTAATCGAAACCTTGGAGTTCTGGAAGGAATGACATCAGGAGGGAGATGGTGCCAATGACTCCCATGCTGGCTCTATCAAAGGTGATCTGGGCGAACCAGAGGACTGGAAGGAGGGTTCCATTCCAGTTGTGCATATTGTTTGAGCTGGGGACAGCTCAAAAGGTGGCTCATGTAATGGGGATGATGGCACATCCAGCAGGTCATCTTCAGTAAACATTTCCTCATCCTCATCAAGAGATGTGAGCCACTGCATATCATGGCATGATGGAATTACTGCACACAGTCATTAGAACTAATGGTCCTTGGACCAGTTGACTTACAGAGTTTATCTGGACTGCTGGAACTGAATCTAACATTTCTGGGAGCCATATGAAAGTTCAAAATGTTGTAGGCACCATGGGGATTACACCAATGTTTGAGAATGATTTTGGTACCAGTGATAAGATTGTATTACACAATATTTTTTCACCAGTCATCATGCAGGATGTGCAAGTGCATACATAATGGAAATGGGCACTTAGTGGAATGACTGTCAACTGCCATACATTACTCCCACCAAAATATGTTCAATGGTTAAACCAGTACATTGAATATTGTAAATCACAGCATCACTGGAGTGAGCATTTGTATTGTGCTTATGTAAGCCTGTTGAATGGTGTGTGCTAGCTGGCAAATTCACCACACCACTCAAGCACCCACCACCTGCACACCTAAGCTTTAACAGCACTATGTCTACCACCAACACCAGCACCTTCATTCCAGCACAATCAACTGACAACATCCAGCTGGTCATCACCACTGAAAATGCCAAGCAGATGGTTGAGGAGGCTGCCAGGGTTACAATGCAGGTACTGAGAGGACTTTGGGGCCAGGATGCTAAGCACTGGGGCAAAGTGGCTCAGCTTGTGTGGGCCCAGCTGGTAAGTGAAATCGCAGCCATGATATCCATTCCTGACATCTATGTAGGGAATGGTCTGCACAGTTGTTGAACATCTACCCCCGGCATTCGAGATCCCTCTGCACTTATTGCTATTGATATGCACATGGTTGACCCAGCAACAATCTTTGCCACACAGACATGGCTGCCTTTCAACCAGATGATGACAGCATGAGAGGCCGATGTGAAGGATCATGCATGGTATCACCTTCATCACCAGCCCAAGTCTCACCCATATTACAAGGTCATGGAGGAGCTTACCAGGCCTTCGTCGAGGGCCAAGCACCAGGCACAGCCAGTGGATGAGGGGAAGGGGAAAGAGTTGGGTATGGATGAGGCTCAAAGGATTTGGCTTCCAGGTGAGCACTAATTCTGAGGATGGCAATTGGGTAGACTGCTGATACAGGATCCAAAGATGCACCCACAGACACTACAGCTAGGACCACTGGAGTTGCAATGCAGAAGCTGGGAAATGAGGAGGATCAGAACAGGGAGAAGGCATGGGGCCATAGCCAGTCAAGACATGGCCAGCCAGTGGCCAAGCCTGTCAATGCCAGTGATCAGACCAGTAGAGGCTGGAGCCAGTCAAGGAGACCAATGAAGAAGGCAAAACTGGCAGTTGACAAGGATGTACAGGACTGGCAAGACATCAACAACCCTCCTGAGTCCTGGGTTGTAATGCTGGAAGCTGAGCAGTGTGTGAGATGCTGGGACAGGAGTTGGCCCTGTACAGTGCTAGCTGGCAGGGCATGCTGGCAATGCCACTGTACCAAATACTCATGCAGCTTGTTCAAGGGGAGGGGAGACAAGTCTGAGATGCAGTGAAAAGCCTCCCATTCAAGGCCTTGCCAGCAATGATCCCCAGAAGACATGGCTGGCCTTCCCACCACTTCAATGCTGGCTGTGCCAGCTCCATTGACTGGTCAACAAGCCAAACATCAAAGGGCACCAAGCTGAAATCAATCCACTGGTCCATCCAAAGTAACAAGCCATCATCCATCTCCTGGCCCATGGACTGGCTGCCCCAGTAAGTTATTCACAGTCCTATGTTTTTTGCTAATCGGTTGAACTAATATTTCTATTGAGTAGTGGGAATTATTACTCCATCATGGCTATCCCAGTCACAGTCTCATGCAAGAAGTGTTGCAACAGACCCACCCATCACTCCAGCACCAACTACTACAACTGGTGCCAATGATCCATGCCATTGTGACAAGTATCAGGAAGAGGTTACCATCCTCAAGCAGGAGAATGCTGACATGAGGCAGGAGATAGAAGTAACCCATACTGAGCTTACTGCTCTCCATTGGGTGGTAGATGCTATCTGTAATCACCTATTCCTGACCCCAGACATGCTTAACCATCTTCTGGTCCCATTTCACACTACTTGCAACCCTACACCAGTACCTCACATGCCAGTCATGGTGGAACTTGGCACTGCAACCAGTGTTGTAGAGGTTCAATCATCCTGAAGTGGCTCAAGACAGGAGTCCACTGAACCCCCCCCCCAGCTTCATTTGAGGGAGGTGCCAGCTTGGAAGTACCTCCTTTGAATGTTGAACCTGTGCATGGACCTGCTGGAGGTCTGGCAATCTCTATTACTCCACCACCACCAGCAGTCAGATCAGCACCTGTACAGGAAGGTAGGATGGAGGTTGACTAACATCAATGTACTTGTCATTTCGCAATCCATTCATGTTTTTTTGTCTTTGTACTTGTATTTTGTTAGATGCAGCAATATATTCTATATTGTCAAAATGTGATCTCCAGGAAGAAGTAGCTACTGCTGCTGGTAGTTGTTACTGTATGATTCAGATACTGGAAAACCAATCTGGTATGGTGATGTCTGTACCAAGGCCATGGTGTTACAAGTGCTAAGGGCCAATGGAGTCATGGTTCACCTAGATGATTGAATGATGACTGGCTGGCATAACTCAATTGTTTTTGCTGTATAGCATGATGGTGACTTTCATGGCATTGTTCTGGCTTGCTGGAGGCCATAAGGCATTGAATTCACAGTTTAAATGTACTGGGTAGTTGGCTAGTCTTCTGGTCATTACCAGAGCCACCATTGTGGTAATACATGCATCTCTGGCATGGTACTGGGTACCAGTACATACATACACTGTGGACCTGCTCCCAGGAGGTCAGGCAGGTCAGGCATGGCATAGTATAATTTCTGGGTGGGCCTCCATGGCATTGGCACCAGGATGGCATTCATGGCATTGGTGCCAGGACAGCTTGACTGATGGCCTCATGGCATTGGGGATGTGCCAGAACTCATTACAATGGTGCTGTGACAGCCTGCATGATGGCCTCATGGCATTGGGGATGTGCTGGGATGGCTTCCATGACATTGGTGTTGTGCCAGAACACATTACAATGGTGCCAGGATGGCTTGCATGATGGACTCATGGCATTGGGGATATGCCAGAATACATGGAACTGGTGCTGGGCCAGCCTCCATGGCATGGGTCCAGTGCTGGTACACATTACAATGGTGCCAGAATGGCCTGCATGATAGGCCTCATGGTATTGGGGATGTCCCAGAACACATGGCATAGGTTCCAGGATTGCTTTCATGGCATTGGTGTTGTGCTGGAACACATTCCAATGGTGCTGGGATGGCCTTCATGATGGCCCCATGGCATTAGGGATGTGCTGGAACACATGGACCTGGTGCCAGTGCTGGCTCACAATACATCAGTGCCAGGACAGCTTCCATGATGGCCCCATGGCAGTGGCAATGTGCTAGAGCACATGGCATTGGTGCCAGCATGGCTTCCATGGCATTAGCATTGTGCCAGTTCACATTAAATCAGTGCCAGCCAGGACAGCTTCCATGGCATTAGTCCTGGGTTGGTGTTGGCCTGGCTCACATGGCATTCATCCCAGGATGGCCTGCATGGCATTGGTGTTGGGCCAGCTTGCATGACAGTGTTGCCAGGGGTGAACTCAGGGGCTGAGCCCATCCATACCTTCTGGGGACACCCAACTCTGGGCTTACCTGGGACTACTCATATTGCAGTGGCTGCACCCCAATCCCAGACCCCATGTAGTCCATTTAGTCACAACATATAGGTAGCCTGCATGCCAAAATGCCAACACTTATATAGACCCCACAACAGGCCCATCTAAATAGATTAGCCATGACACATGGACAGGCCTGAGGGCCTATAGTGAGAGCAACATACATACAGGCCTGTAAATGCAATTCCACAACATATGGGAGGGCCTGTGGAGGGTAAGGATGCTGCAACATATAGACAGGCCCATGACCAAGTAAGTACGCTAAGCTACTGTAAGACATGGACAGGCCCACCTATTGTATCATGAAGAAGATTGCAACATATGGACAGGCCCACCTGTCATATGCTTTATAGGGTCACAACATAAAGAGGGGCCCATCTCTGATAGATTACAGAGTTGGCAACATATGGACAGGCCTGGGAGTAATATCATTTATGGTGTCACAACATCTAGACAGGCCTGTCCATAGCAAGATGTATGCCTGTCACAACATAAGGACAGGCCTGTCAGTAATATCATTGACAGCATCACAACACATAGATGGGCCCATCTAGTAAGATGCATCCCTGCCACAACATAAAGACAGGCACATCAGTAATATCATTTACAGTGTCACAACACATAGATGGGCCCATCAGTAATATCAATCACACAGTCACAACACATGGACAGGCCCATCAATAGCAACATGTATGCCTGTCACAACATAAAGATGGGCCTGTCAGTAATATCATTTACAGTGTCACAACACATAGATGGGCCTGTCAGTAATATTAATATCAATCACACAGTCACAACACATGGATGGGCCCATCAATAGCAACATGTATGCCTGTCACAACATAAAGACAGGCCTGTCTAGTAAGATACCCTGTCCCAACATAAGGACAGGCCCATCAGTAATATCAATTACACAGTCACAACACATGGACAGGCCCATTGATAGCAACATGTATGCCTGTCACAACATAAAGACAGGCCCATCAGTAATATCATTTACAGCATCACAGCACATAGATGGGCCCATCTAGTAAGATGCACCCCTGTCACAACATAAAGATGGGCCCATCAGTAATATCATTTATAGCATCACAACATATGGAAGGGCCCTTCAGCAGCATCATTTATGTGGTCACAACATAAGGACAGGCCCTTCAGCAGTATTATTTATATGGTCATGACATATGGATGGGCCCTTCAGTAATATCTTTTATATCGCCATAAAACAAGGATGGGTCTGTCTAGTAAGATCCACCCCTGTCACAACATAAGACAGGTCCAACACCAATAGCACATATAGTGTCACAACATATTGATCAGATCACAGCAAAATATTGAGGCAAGCATCCCAACATGCCATAATTTTCCAACAAGCTGCAAGCGGCTTGCCCACTATACAACTCTGACCTCATCCACCCCAAGCATGAATACTACACAAGACATGTCTAAAACCCCCCACAGATGGTGAATGGAACTGACAGACTGCATTGCATCATACATGAAAGCCAGATTTCAAGAGGAGGTATTCAGTGGACCTCACACCCTTCCAGATATATCAATTCTGTTTCTGGTGTTATGTGAAGCAGATCACATATCGTCAGTAATCTCACAGGCCTATTGTCACCCAAGTAAGTCCATCATAATGGTGCGACAGAAGTTTTCATCTT